AAATGGATCTAAATATAAAACTTCCAGAAGAAAACAAAAGAGAAATATTTTTGTGACCAAGAGTTAGGCAGAGAGTTATCAGCAATGACACCACAAGTAAAACTGTAATAGATATAGCTGATGATGAATATGAACTATCAAAGAAAAAATTGATAAAAAGTTAAAAACTTTTACTCTGCCAGGTACTATTAAGAGAATGACAAGACAAGAATATTGAAGAGAAAATATTTGCACATAACATATCAAAGAGAACTTGTATCCAGTATATAAAAAATACTCTGAAAACTCAACAAACAATTCAATGAATAGATGGGGTAAGAAAATAACCAATCTTGTTAATAAATGGGAAAGGGACTTGAGAATCAAGGTGGTAAATAAGTACTTGAAAAGCTGTTCAACATAATTTGGGTAGTGCAAATTAAAACCACAATGAGATACCAACACATACCTGTTAGATTTGCTGAAATGAAAAATCTAACAAGGTGCTGGCTGGGTAGCTCAGTTGGTTCAAGCGTTGCCCCAACATGCCAAGGTTCTGGCTTGATCCCTGGTCAGGGCACATAAAAGAATCAACTACTAAATGCACTAATAAGTAGAACAACAGATCGATGTTTCCTTCTCTCTTTTTTTTTCTCTCTCTCTCTAAAATTAGTAAATTAAAAAATATGTATACTAACAATGGTAAGTGCAGGCAGGATACAGAGTAATGGGAACCCTTCCTACATTGCTGGTAGGAATGCATAATTGTACTGTCTGTCTGGAAAATATTTTTCAGTTTTTTATGAAATTAAAGATACATTTACCATATGACCGACCCAGCATTCCCACTTCTGGGTATTCGCCCTAGAGCAGTATGGTAATTTTTAATATTAAAATAAAATAAACGCATTATCTTAATAGTTCCTTTGAACATTTAAAGATGTCTTTTTTTTTTTATTATTCTCACCCGAGGACATTTTTGCATTTCTCTTCAGAAAAAGCGGAAGGAAGAGAAGGAGGAAGAGAGAGAGAGAAACATCGATGTGAGAGAGATACATAGACTGGTTGCCACCCACACAACCCCAACCGGGGCCAGAGGTACGTGCCACCAAGGTACGTGCCCTTAGTGGGAACCGAACCTGGGACTCTGGTCTGCGGGCCGATGCTCTAAACACTGAGCAAAACTGGCCAGGGCTAAAGAGGTCTTTTCATATTATAAACTATTTTTATGAAAGCTATGTGCTTGGTTTAGACTGCCATCCACATGCACTATTCTCTGATGTTAAAAAAAAAAAAGTCTTTGCATTGTTATTTTAAAAAATATGTAACCATTACAAAAAACTTAGATTCGAGGGAAAAGAAACTCCACATCTTCAATCCTACCAGCTTTTTGCGACAACTTTGTGTCTGTTAATATTTTTTGGTGTGTTACATACATAATTGCAGTGATTCTGTGTATATTCTCATGGTTATTGGTTCTTTTTTAAAAATATGTTTTTATTGATTCTTTTAGAGAGAGAAGATGGGAGTGAAAGAGAAACATTGATGTGAGAGAGAGACATCAATTGGCTGCATGCCCCTACTGGGGATAGAGCCTGCAACCTGGGCATGTGCCCTGACCGGGAATCAAGCCTGGGCATCTCAGTCCCTGGGGTGATGCTCAATCCACTGAACCACACTGGCCGGTTTTATACCATTTTGGTTATTCCTCTTATTTTATAATTTGCTTCTCCAATTTTAGGCAAAACATTTTTGTATGGGATGAGCATCATTCTAGGGTTCCTAGTGCTTCATTAAAGTCATTGTTGACTTCTTTATATCTCAGTTCTGGTGACTATCCTAGCAGGAAACCTTTGAGCTCAAACTAGGAGAGCTATTTAGTTTGCTTGATCTTTTAATTTTCCTTTCTGAGCGTGTTTTCTTTCTCCCATGTAAGAAAAACAGAATGACGATTTCTGTATGGCTTTATGCTGTTGCAATCAAAAGGTAACCTTCCCTTTTTAGAAGCGGAATAAAATTTTCTTGTTTTATTGCCTTCCTTATACGAAGCCAGGTGTAACCCAATTTTGATATATTATTGCTTAGCTTAAATAGGCCTGTTTCTGGTAAGTATACATAAGTTAGAACACTAAAGTTTCTTTAAAAATAAATTTAACATGATACTTTGTAAACACCAGGACTTTGTCGCCTTCAGAGCTTTTTTTACATATAATGGTCATCATAAAGTATTATAGGGTTGTTATCCTGATAATGTTAAATGGTCATCTCAGCAAGAACATTTTTGCCAGCAGAGGGAGAGAAGATTCTGTTTTAGAGATATTTCATACTGTTCTTAGGGGTATTCCAATTATTCACAAATAATATTTCTCATTACCTTTCATATTTCTGAGCTGTTGGTGAATAATTACAGGTGAAGTAAACAGCAATTAGACGTAAGAATATGTTCCATCTAAATATGTTGGAAGACAAAGTGTTGACTAGGTCTTGTGGTAGGTAACAACCTGAGACAGAATTAGGACTGGGAGCTGCTCCCCATACATGGTCCTGAAGTGGCGAGTAGGAGAAAAGGCTCCTGACTATTTGAATATGCAGAATGTTTAACTATGTGCTATGATTACATATTCAGGAAAAAATGGCAGAGGTAGTAGACTAGGGGCTTAAGCTACTTGGATACTAGTTTTAGCTTTATTACTGTAGGTGTGTAACCTTGCTGTTAAGTTACCTGAACTCCTCAGTTAGGCATATCTATGTAGAAGGTGTTGATTATGCATACCTTACTTATTCTGGAGGATTGCTGGGGAGATAAATAGAGATAACATATGGAAAAAGTACTTTGAAAATAATATAACTTCATATAAATGTGAATGACTGTGGTGGTTTTTACGTGAAAGAGAAAAGAAACAAAACAGAACATATATTTGATTAGTGTTGCCATGTGAATGAAGAGGGAGAGACATTTGAATACCTATCATTCTCATTTAATTCCCATAAAAGCCTTCTGACTAGGTCCTATAGTTCCTTACTTTTTTCGCTCAAGGGAATTGATCCCAAGAACAGTTCTTTCTTTGGCCAAAAGTCACATGTCAATTATGGGTAGAAATGGGAATTTAGCTCAAAGCTATCTAACTCTAAACCTACTGCTGTTGTTTATTTTCCCTATGGCGTAGTACCATATTGATCTTATGGTTGCATAAATATTATACAATTTTAAAAGATGGGCAGAAATTAAAAATGGCAGAATCATTTGATATTCAACCAACATGAATAGAAACCCTAAAATTGAGGTTCAGAGTGAGTTTATGAATTGAAAACATTACCTCTTATATGTTAGCATTTAGAAGCCACAGAAAAACAGAAACTGAAAGAACTGATAACTATATTGAGAGATTCTAAGTAAGCGAATTTCTCATCTATCATAGTATGAACTCAACAGATAATTTTTAAAGACTGTAAATCAAGAAATAGCAATATTCCTGTATAGAGATAACCAACAAAAGCAATAAAAAGTGCATTCATTGCATTTGGACATTGAGATTAAAGGTGGGGGAGAGCCGATTGTGAGAAACTGCTATTTTTCATTATAAGGCTGTCTGCGGTTTTAATTTTTAAGTACGTACATATATTATTGTAAAAAAAAAAAATGTTTTAAGCCCGGCCGGTGTGGCTCAGTGGTTGAGCATCGACCCATGCACCAAGAGGTCGCTGGTTCTATTCCTGGTCAGGTCACATGCCCAGGTTGGGAGCCAAATCCCCAGTGCGGGCGAGACATGCAGGAGGTGGCCAGTCTCGATATTCTCTCTCATCCATGTTTTCATCTCTCTCCCTCTCCCTTCCTCTCTCTCTGAAATCAATAAAGAAAAAATAAATGTGTAAACTTAAAAAAAATTTTTTTTTATAAAATTCTGAGGCAAACATTACTAAGATACACTTCTTTGCAAAAGATGGTTAGGACATAGTAGCAGTACAAAATTATTTATCACTTACCTCTGAACATGTAAAAGAAGCTACTATTGAACGTGTACTGACTTAAAGACCACATTTGGTGCTAGTCAGATTGGGTTGGGTTAATTGTATAACGGACCCTGGTGAGCCACTACCATACTACTACCAGTGATAAACTTATTTAATTGGAGGATATTAGCTGTTTGATTGTCAAGAAATATCTCTTGAACCTGGTTGTAGCAAACTAAAAAAAATATTTTTTTATGTGAGTAAGGGCTCAGTGGAAAATTGGGTGTCTTCCTTGGGACTTGCTTGTTCCACTCTAACCTCTGAATAAGTTCCATGCTAGCATCTAGGATTTATTTCTTTTTACATCAGATCATTACCGTATTTTTGAAGAAGTCTTACTGAATTTAACACATGGATTTAAATAATTTTAAATAATCTTGAATATTTCAGCTAATATACCCACGAAAATATTAACTTTCACAGAATAAAGTTTTTATAGAAACTTTGAAATTTAATAACACTGGACGTGTGAAAAAGAATTTTAAAGTTTTAAAATTAATCTGACAACTCAGTTTTATTTTCATGAAGTTATTTCTGAAGGTTATTCAAAAAAAATTTTTTTAATCCTCACCTGAGGATATTTTTCCATTTATCTTTAGATAGAGTGGGAGGGAGAAAGAGGGAGAGAAAGGAAGAGAGAGAGAAACATCGACATGAGAGAGACACATTGACTGTTTGCCTCCTGCATGACCCTGACCAGGGCCGAGGACAAAACACAACCGAGGTATGTGCCCTTGGCCAGAATCGAACCAACGACTTTACTGGTCCATGGGCTGATGCTGTTCCACTGAGCCACACCGGCCGGAGTTTATTCAAAAATGTTATTGAAGATATTAGAATCTAAGATATTGTTGAATTATATTTTAGAGCCGTTATAAGTAATTTATCATGGGGGTAGGATGCGTGTGTTTATCTTGGAGTATGTGGTTAGTGAAATCCAAAGCCTTTCAAATTCTTCAGTATCAAATTGTTTTATGTCTTAATGTCTTCTTAAAAATTATTTTTTATAGCTGTGTACGATCGAATGCGAGCAGATCAGAAGAAATTTGGTAAAGCGTCATGGGCAGCAGCCGCTGAACGTATGGAAAAACTCCAGTATGCAGTTTCTAAGGAGACTCTGCAGATGATGAGAGCTAAAGAGATCTGTTTGGAACAGAGGAAACATGCACTAAAGGAAGAGGTAACAAAAACTTGGAAAAGTATAAAACTTTTTTTAAATTAAGGTTTGGTTTTTATCTTTGTACAGACTGGCATTTTTCTGACTTTACAGGTAACTTCATTTTGCATTGACTCCATGAGATGGTAAGATTCATGATGGGGCCTATGATTTGAGTTGGCGCAAATAGAAGAGTTAGACACAATGGTAACTTCACAGCATCACAGTGTGAACATAGGCAGCAGCGCAATGTTAAAGCAAAAAGGAGGTCAATGTCAGATTTTAAAGATATTTTTGCTGTCTTTAAAATATTTTTACTGCTGGATGTGAGGGCAATCTGGCTGTGACATCTGTCACCCCATTGATCGCCAGGGTTGATTCGGGTAATCTGGCTGGCTAGGTGGGTGTCCCCCTCCTCCCTCAACCGATCCATGTGGGTCCCTCCTGAAGCTGCATGCTCAGTGGAAGAGGACAGCCTTCCCTCCAGAGGAGAGGACTGGTGTTCGGTCAAGGGTATACAAGTAGCTGTGCTCCCCTGCTAGAACCTTCAAACAAGCTCTCAAGGTCCATTTGTAGGAGAATGTAGGGTAGTCACGCTTCCAAGACTCCAGACACATCCAAATGAGGCGCTGCACGTGGCAGTCTGCCTTTCTAAATAACAATAACAATAAAAATAAAAATAAATAAAATGTTTATACTGCCCTGGCTGGTTTGGCTCAGCGGTGCGTATGGGAGGTAACTAATTGGTGTTTCTCTCACATTGATGTCTCTGTCTCTCTCTGTCTCTGTCTCTCTCTCTCCCCCTCTCCCTCCCTCCGTGCCTCCCTCTCTCTCCCTCTTTCTTCCTCCCTCCCCCCACCCCCTTCCTTTTTCTCTAGAATCACTGGGGGGAAAAAACATCCTCTGGTGAGGATCAAAAAAAAAAAAAATGTATGAGTTAACCTATAATGTAGCATGACTGTGATCTAGAAAGAAGTCTTTTTGTTAATGGATTTAAAATTGTAGTTTTATTCCCTTGCATTTTCTTATTTGCTACTGTTGTTAAAGGTGAAATTGGATCTTGTCTTGTCCTGGGACTTTGTCATGTTTGATGTGCGAAATCTCTTTGCAAGGATTTTAGCCCCATCTCATGTTCCCCTGAGGCATTTCTGATGCAATCTTTTCTGGTTAGTTTGCTCTTAATGTTACTTGTCTGGAATTTTCTTAAGTTGCAGAAGTTTTAAAACTAAAAATTCTAGCACTTTATTGCCTGTGAATTAGATCAAGTACCACTCTTTGTCTTTGTTCTAATCTGGCTGACATTGAGCTATACTGTCAAGGTAGGGTGCCTAAAAGAGCTGCTGAGGTAAGATTTCTGACTACTTGCTGTTGCAGGAATGATGTTCTTATTGGAATTGGTCTAGGGTGGTAGAGGAAGGGTGAGGCTGAAGTGGGCCCTGGAAATCTGGGATTATGATTATCTGTGGGGTCATTTTCCTTGGGGCCATGCTTTTACCTTAATAGTCTGTTTTATAATGTTCTGTATTGTGTTTGAATTCTTCAAAGGTTTTGGTAAAACTGTCTGTCATTTTTGCCAGGTTATGATTGTTGTGTGTATATAATATACGCATTGTGCTTTTTATATGTATCTATGATGATGTACTATACCAGTTTTATTAGCACTAATTTAAGGTGACCACATTACTCATGAGAAACAGAACAAATGTCAGTTATTAAGCCCATCCCAAACAAATGCTTTGCCAGTGAAGACCTTATAAATACAGTACTGTGATGTAAGTATATGGAGACTTTTGTTCTTTTAAAAACTGTCGCTATGTTGTGTTTCCTTAGGTTATTTTAAAGAAAAAAGATTTCTTCCTGATGTAACAGAACACTTTAAAAATTAAATAGAAATTAAATTGAAAATATTTAGTAATTATTTGCCATGAATATAATACTGAACTTGAAACAGAATTTCTATTAATGCTGAAATATTAAATGTCACCTGGGCAGGCAAAATTCTGTTTGAATTTTAAATTTTCTTTATACTAACAAGTACTTAAGAATAAGTATGATGCCTTTTAATCTGTCTCCTTTTTGACTGTTTCTGAGTTTTGATTGTAGCGATTCTTATCCTTTTTAGGTCACAGACTACTTGTCCCTTTAACAGTTTGAAAGCTAGGAACACTGTACTCAGAAATATACACATATGCACAGCTTTGAACACAAATTTGGTAGACTCTATCATCTGTACCTGAGCCCCTGACCCATATTATCCACTGGTGTCCAAATTTTTTCATCGAACACTCTTGAAAATATCATTGCCCTTTGAAAGGGTGAGTTTAATTAGTAGTGACTATCTTATTCCACTCCTCATCAGACCAGATTTAAAAACAATAGCACAGTTTGACTGTCCAAACACATCTTTACTTTCAAATATCTATTATTTGCAGATTACATCAGATACATTTAAACCACTGAACAAGATTAAATTACATATAATCACACAGTGTTAGGAGTAGTAGGATATAGCTTAGAAGTATCATTAAAATAAGGGATTCTCTTTGTAGTTATTAATTGAAATAGGAGATACACTAAAATTAAGATTTCATTATGAAATAATAGAAAATACAGTTATATTTCAGTTAACTTGTGGACCATTCTCTTCTGCTACCAATGTTCTCTGGTTAATAGGGAATTAACCAGAAAACCCTTTGAATTCCAATACTTGTGAGTTGAAAGTTCTAAAAATACACCAATGTGCTTTCTTGTCTTGGCAAAGGATTTTAACCATTCCCATTTATTTATTTATTTATTTATTTATTTAAAAACTGTGATTCTCTATGAATACACATACACTTCTAGAATATTGAGCTTACTATATATATCAATCCTGAGGCTAGTTCCTTCTATTTCATTATTTTGCCTTTCTCCTAAAAGCATGTGGCTAAATTATGATTAATTAAGGTTATATCCCTCTATGTCAGTTAATTTAAGTCATCAAGTATCTTTTTTTTTTTTTTTTTTTTTATCCTCACCCGAGGACATTTTTCCATTTTTTGTACAGATAGAGTGGGAGGGAGAGAGAGAGAGAGAGAGAGAGAAACATCGACGTGAAAGGGACACATCGAGTGGCTGCCACCCGCACGACCAACCAGGGCCGGGGACAAACTGCAACCGAAGTACGTGCCCTTAGCGGGAACCGAACCCGGGTCTCTCTGGACCGCAGGCCGATGCTCTAACCGCTGAGCCAAACCGGCCAAGGCATCAAGTATCTTTTGAGTATTTGCAGTATACTGTAGTGGGCATGAGCTTATGATGTAGACAGAGTTATTCAGCAGAATTTCCTTTAGTGATGGAAATGTTCTATATCTACACTTTCCAATAAGGTTAGCTACTAGCCATATGTGAATTGAGCTCCTGAAATGTGACTTATGTGACAGAGGAACAGAATTTTTTATTTTATTTAAATAGTTATATGTGTGCCCGGCCGGTGTGGCTCAGTGGTTGAGCATCGACCCATGCACCAGGAGGTTGCCAGTTCGATTCCCGGTCAGGGCACATGCCCAGGTTGTGGGCCAAATCCCCAGTCGGGGGCATGCAGGAGGCGGCCATTTGATGTTCTTTCTCATTGATGTTTCCATCTCCCTCTCCCTCTCCCTTCTTCTCTCTCTAAAATCAGTAAAGAAAAAAAAAATTAAAATAACCATATGTGGCTTGTCCTTACTATATCGGAAAGTTATCGATTCCCACCTTGGGTGAATTACTTAACCTCTATAGAACACTAATATATACCTTCTAAGAGAGTTATGAGTTTATCATTTAGGCAAGTGCCTGGCATAGAGTAAGAACCCAAAAATAAATGTTAGATTTTATTCTGATTTGTGTTAGGTGTTGTGCAAGTATCATGTAAAGGAATACAAAGGTGGAAAAAATGTAATTCTCATGCTTAAGATGTTTATTTGCATTTCGTATGTGCCTTTCCAAGGAGTTTCAACCTCAAGGAACACAAGTGGGGAGGCTGGAGTACTCGTTGAGGCAAAGAGGCTGGTTTTGGTATTTATTTATTTATTTATTTATTTATTTATTTATTTATTTATTGGTATTTATTTATTTATTTATTGGTATTTATTTATTTATTTATTTAATTTTGTGCCCTGACTGGGAATCGAACCAGCGACCTCTTGGTGTGTGTCATTGCTCAACCACTGAGCTACACCAGCCTGGCTGGGTTTGTGTTTTTAATTTGTTTTCAATAAGCAGATAGAGTCTGTTTCATACCTGCACACTAGACATTTCAAGATCTCTAAGTACAAAAAGCTAGATTCCCCTCTAAAAACTATGATATTACTTACTTATGAAATTCTATTTTAGCCATCTAAGTTATGTTTTGATAGTGGTTATCAAAAAAAAGTAAACATAAAAATTTTAAATGTTTCAAGTCTTGTCCTTAGTGCTTTCTGTATATTATCTCACTTAATTCTGAAACATAACCCTTTATGCTATAATCTAGTAAGCCATTATCTGAAGCCCCCAAGACCAGATATGTTTCAGAATTCTTAGTTTTTCAGATTTTAGAAAGTCAATGCCAGACTAGTGTTAGTATTCCAGTAATGAAACTTATAGAGATTTACATTACATGGAATAAATTGGTACTCACATCAGATCAGATCACATTTTTCTACAAATAGATTGCAAGATCAGTTTTTGATGTCACATAAATTATCGATATTTTCAATTTTAAAGTTTTCTGAAATGTGGACTTCTAGATAATTCTGTCAGCTTGTATGTATTTTCCATATTTGTGCAGCTGTTATTAGTGGAGCCCCAAGTTTGTCTGGTTCTCAGTCTCATGTTCCTTCCATCTTTTCCACATAAAAGGGCTAGTCTTGATTGAGTGCTTGCCGAGCTTGCCTTTAATGTTATTTATCTTACGCTGGGCATGATCTTTATGACTACTCTTTGAACTCTTGCTTCATTTCTTGTTTACTGCCATATTCTCTGAAACTCATACAGTGATGGGTGCTCAGTGAGTATTTGTTGGCTAAATATTGGCTCAACCCATAGATAGTCTGAAAGCTCTCTTTTCACAGCCCCTCACGCCATGGAATTTTCTAGCACAGTAGAATGAAAGGCAGGACAGCGGCATCATTCATTGTATAAACTACTTTAGATTTGTTTTTATGATATCGTATGGTCAGTGAAATAGGTGTACATGAAAACTATATCATTATTGTGCATGGGGGGTGATTATCTGTGGGGCCGGTAGTGTATGACGGGCTTGTATGGATATACGGACATCGACTAATACTTTATATACTTCATTTCTTTGCTAGATTTACTGAAAAACATTTTTCTTTGTTTCTTTTTCCATATTTATTAGAATGGGGTTCCCTACTTTGTCTAGTGGAAAGATGGTCCCTGTAGGAATTGGGAGAATTGGGTCTAGTTCCAACATTGCTGGTACTACCTAGCTATTGGGAAGTCACAGTTTGGTTTGGGGTCTTGATATCCTGATTTCAAAGATTTATTTAGAAGGGTGAAAGTTGAGCCTGTCTGGTGTGCCTCAGTGGTTTGAACATCATCCCAGGGACTGAGAGGTCTCGGTTCGATTCCTGGTCAGGGCACATGCCCAGTTTGTGGGCTAAATCCCCAGTGGGGGGCATGCAGGAGGCAGCAGATCGATGTTTCTCTCTCTCTAAAAAATCAATAGAAACATTTTAAAAAATATTAGAAGGTAAAAGTTGACTGAGTAAAATTTCAAGGTAGCAGAGTTTTCATTGGCACTGATTGTCTTATTTTATTATTATTTTTTTTTAACCCTTCATCCTACTCTTCAGGCTTCCTTCTTGTCTGGGAAAGCACTGTCCCCAGATAGAACACAGCTGTCCCATCTGTGGCACCTGCCTTCTTTGCATAGCTCCATTGCCCAGCATTAGTGTTCCTTCCACTGTCTTAGTTCTATGGCTGTCTGCTGAGTTAGGCACCAGGAAAAAATCAGTCTGGACATTTCTGATGTTAGAGGGAAGAGATCTGGAGCAGTGTAGCCTTCACATACCTCTCCATGCCTTTCACTGAGGATTTCACCTCCATGTTGAAGTATAGACAAACCTCAGAGCACTGTTTTGCCTTGCCAAGATTTCCCTGCTTTGTCTTTAATCTGCTTCTCCTCAGCTTATCCCATGAAAAGTCCTCTCTACAACCCTTTAACTTTTCCTGAGGTCCACCACTGCCCTACTGTTTGTTCTCTCAGAGGTTGGTATTTAACAGAATTCTTGTCTTTGCCTCAGTCTCTGATGTTTTGTCCTTTTGAACCCAGCCATGGCAAATACACTTCTGGACTGCCTTGCTCTGCATAGAACTCACTAAGCCAGAAAATTGAGGGTGAAGTCACTCATTGAAGAGGATACCCTCTTCCTTTCTCAGTTTGATGTTTGATATTCGCTGTATTCTGGCATCACTATGCATCGCAAATGTTTTTAATGTACATGGGCTTGGGCAGGGATCAGGATATTGTTCTACTTGCAGTTGAGGTACCGACAATATGAAGGTATGTCAGCAGGGGACTTGGAACTCCTTCCTTAGACAAAGTATTGGACAAGAGAGTGGTAGTTAGCAAAGTGTCATGAACGCAGCAGATAAATGGTCACTCTAGCTGGAGGTAGTAAAGATGGAACAACCTGGACAGGACCTGAATCATATCACTGGAGAACTGATCATAGATTAAGGTTTTTAGACTGAATCACACTAAGGTTTTACTGATCATAATTGCCCCACTTAGAGAATAAAGCCTTCTAACATTACATGTTTTACCTGTTTGTATGCTGGGCTCACAGAGAGTGTGGGTGCAGATAACAGAGGAAGATGTGTCCTGGGGCTCTGGTCTCCAGAACTGAACAAGACCCCCAAGATAGTATGGAAATGGATGTTTATAATTTAAAGTGAGACTGGGAGTCTCAGGAAAGAAATCACTCCTAGATTCCCCTTTTGTGACTTAGGAGAAAAGCAGCAGGATTTCATTTTATCAGCATTCCCTTCCATGAGATGCTGGAATCAAGCCCATTTGGAGTTTGTTCTATATCTATTGTTTGTTACTCATATTTCCTAATGTAGCAGGGTCACTGACTTACAACTTAGATAACTTATTAAATATTTATTTATAAAATGTTTATAACATTAAATAGCACTGTGTTTAATCCATCCGGTTATTTTTAAATGTATACTGTTGCACATTTAGATCACAGCTTAATTATTGCTTTGCAGCTCAGATTTTTTTTATTAAAGGAATTTGAAATTATATACTAAGACAAACATTACAATCATTGGATAGAACTGTGTGGATATCTAGACTGGGGTCTTGTTTAAAAATACACTTTTTATGTGCTGACATGTTTCACCAGCCTCACTAGCCAGAAGGGATTATTTTGTAACAATAAGAATTGACTGTCAGCGGCCATCGTAGAAGTGCCAGCAGTCAAAATGAAGTTTAATCCCTTTGTGACTTCTGACCGGAACAAGAACTGTAAAAGGCATTTCAATGCACCTTCCCATGTTTGTTCCATGCCCACCCGAAAGGATGATGAAGTTCGAGGACATTTTAAAGGGCAGCAAATTGGCAAAGTAGTCCAAGTTTACAGGAAGAAATATGTCATCTACACTGAACAAGTGCTGTTCATGTGGGCATTCACCCCAGCAAGGTGGTTATCACTAGACTAAAACTGGACAAAGACCACAAAAAGATCCTTGAATGTAAAGCCAAATCTCGCCAAGTAGGAAAGGAAAAGGGCAAATACAAGGAAGAAATAATTAAGAAGATGCAGGAATAAAGTAATCTTACATACAACTTTCATTAAAACTTAGAAGAGCCCTGGCCGGTTTGGCTCAGCGGTTACAGCGTCACCCTGCGGTCCAGAGAGACCTTGGTTCGGTTCCCGCTAAGGGCACGTACTTTGGTTGCAGTTTGTCCTCGGCCCTGGTTGGTCGTGCGGGTGGCAGCCACTCGATGTGTCCCTTTCATGTCGATGTTTCTCTCTCTCTGTTCCTCTCTCTCCCTGCCACTCTGCCTGAACAAAAAAATGGGAAAATGTCCTCGGGTGAGGATTAAAAAAAAAAAAAAAAACTTAAAAGGAGAAAAAAAAAGAATTGATGGTCTTTGCTGCCAGGGCTGTCCCAGGACTACCAGTCAAGTATGTTCCTGGTAGTCTCGAAGCCCAGGTGATATCTCACATGAGCTCATAAACATTTCTCTTATTTTCTGCACTGTTCTCTGCCCACTTCCTTTGTTAGTCACTCCCTGGCATGCCACTTGAGCCTAGGGCCTCCTCAACAGTGCTGCTACATTCCCAGCAAACTGATACCTGTGCCAAGAGTCTCCTGGAATTTCTAAGCATGAATCTTTGAACTGCCAGAGTGGTGGTGCCATGTTCTTAGAAGAACTGTTTTTGGATTACTCTCTCATACCAGAAGACTTGTGCTGATTTTCTTCTGATGCCTGGCAAAATATCTTTCCCTCTCACTTTAGGACTAAAAACCAACCATCCAACCAAACAAATCTCACACAAGACCACTCACCTGTGCAGAAATTTCTGAATCCCACCTCGTTTCACTCTAGGGCCCTGAGTGCATTTAGTTAGATACTAATAGTGATCATTATCAGTAAATTGCAAGGATTTCCATGGAAAGCGGTTGTCATGCTGCTCCAACTCACATCCATTCACCTGTCCTCCAGTCAATAGATTCTAGGAGCTAGCCAAGCTGTAACCTTGGCAGCAGACAAAGCTCTGGATGTGTGGTGCTGACCACACTTTTATCCCTCTGTTGTAACTATCCGAGTGTGGCCAAATCTTATTCATATATCTTATGTCAAAAGAATAATTGCATAACTAGCAGCCATTTTAGAGAGTGAAAAGGGACACCATTAATACTTATGTCAGAACAATTAGAATAATATTATTATCCTAAATATGGATGAGCTATAACATAAACTTTAAAACCTTATTTTTACTGTGTTTGCTTATTTATTTCTAAAGCCATATGTTTTAATTATTTCTATTTTTATATCTTTTTTTAAATCTTCATTCTTTCTACAGGTTTCTTAGAACAGTTGCTTTATGGGTTTATTCTGTCTGATTAGTTTTCATTTCTAATTATAACTTAATTTTTTTTCTTGTCCCCACCAACTTGAAATATCATATTTATTTCAATGCAGATGCAGAGTTTGCAGGGTGGTACAGAAGCCATAGCCCGACTGGATCAGTTAGAAGCTGATTATTATGATCTGCAACTTCAGTTGTATGAAGTACAGTTTGAAATCTTGAAGTGTGAAGAGTTACTATTGACAGCACAACTTGAAAGCATCAAAAGACTTATATCAGGTATGGTGTACATTTAACCCCATAAGTCCACAAAAGATTGAATACTTGACAAAAGATAATGGCTTTACCCAAGGTTATAGAGCCAATAAGTGAATTAGAACCCTGTTCTGTCAGCAGTCCATGCCCTTAACCATGACCTTTTGTTGCTATTTTGTAACAGAAAAGAGAGATGAGGTAGTATACTATGACACCTACGAAAGCATGGAGGCCATGCTAGAGAAGGAAGAGATGGCAGCATCAGTGCATTTACAGAGGGAAGAGCTGCAGAAGCTTCAGCAGAAAGCGCGCCAGCTGGAAGCAAGACGTGGACGGGTTTCAGCCAAGAAAGCCTACCTCAGAAATAAAAAGGTATAATACATTACGTATTAATCAAATATGGTCTTAATTTTAAATTTTGCTTTTGTTCATTGCCTAATCTTTGATCCATAGCTAATAATTTTAACCTAGTTTGTCACTAATATTTGCATATCTTTTAAAATAAAGTAAGTTGTTATGGGGTGCTGCATCAGTGTCCTGCTGGAGTTACTTGGTAATACATGATAAATGTAACCTATCACCTTTGAAAACCTGAAAAAAAATTTAATTTCAAAACACATCTGACATATGTTCTGGATAAGGGATTGTGGAACTGTATTCTCATTTTATAATCAAGGGAACCAAGGCACTTAGTAGTTAAATAAATGACCCAAGTGCTTAATATGGGGCAAGGTAGGATTCTATCTTGGGTCTGTGTGACTCAGAAGCCTGAGTCATTATATCACTGCATCAAGTCCTATATAATACTGCCTTTGTTTTCCTCTGGAGACTGCCCGGGACAGGTTCATTTTATGATCAATACTTGTTAGGCAATAGACTTAACCCAGTGTGGGTGAAGAATAGAACATAAACAGTTGCTTTAAAAATTGTTTACTGGCTTAAAAGGTCATTCCTTAGATGCCTTTCTCTGGTTAGAAGAGTAATCTTTTGGTGTAGCTTTGAGAGTGTTGGTAACTAATGTAAACCCTTTTATATGGAGGACTTTTTCAGAAGGACGCATTTCAGAAAATGAAGGCAGCATGGTGCCAATAAAAAGCTGCCAGATGATACTGCATTATTTTGTAAAGAAGTACATATATTCCATTTTAGTCTTACGTTTTTGTTTCCATATGATTGGAAAAGGCATACCTATATTTTCTTTATAATTCTGACTTTCTAGTCTTTAAGGTCTCTTTTAGTTCTGAAGTCTGTGACCAGTTTCAGATTTCACAATATGGTTTAAACCATTCCAGGATATGGTTTAAACCATTCCAGGCAAAATCATGTTCTTTAACTCATCAGAAAGTGCTTAAGAATACAGACTTTTTAAGCCAAGAGTTGTACATATATCCTTTTGCCCAGACGATAAGACTTAGACTATTCTGACCACAGACTTCAGAGCTGAAAGAGACATCTGAGATTATATAAGGACACCCTCTTCCACTTTGCCTTGCCTCATCCCCTCCCCCAAAAAGGAAATCAAGAATGCTAGAAAAGTTTTAATAGTTGGAGAAGAGTCTTTTAAAGATCTTGATCATTTCGCTTATGCTGCTTTAATATTACAAATGAGAAACCAGAGGTGGTTTACTTGACAGCATTTTGCTGTTGTAAGAATATGTTAAGATTAAAATTTGACTTATAAAGTAAACCCTTGTCTTTTAAGTTCCACTTATATTTAAAACACATTTTGTGTATTTATAGGAAATTTGTATTGCAAAACACAATGAAAAATTCCAACAGCGCCTTCAGAGTGAAGAGGAATATAGAACCCATCACACAGTACAACTAGTAAGTTTGTGTTCTTGGAGACTTAGAACAAAACTTTGAATTTTACATGTATCAAAGTGAATAAAATCTATAAAGAATTAAAAAAAGTTATAACTATAGATGTTAGCATTATTTTATTGTATATATGTGTATACTGTATAATTTAGAGCAGTTTAGACAAAAAGTACACACATGCACAACTTCCTTACTAGCCAAATTCTACACAGGAGGGATATATTTGTTACAGTCAGTGAACCAACATTGACACATCATTATCACCCCAAGTCCATAGTTTACATTAGAATTCATTCTTGATGTATACATTCTATTGTTGTTTTTTACATTTTTATTGTTGAATGTATTATAGTTGTCCTCCTTTCCCCCCCCATTGACCCCCTTCACTCCCCCCAACCCCGCCCACTGCCTTCACTGCAGTATTGTCTGTGTCCATGGGTTATGCATATAAGTTATTTGGTTAATCTCTTCCCACCCCCACATTCTGTTGGTTTTGACAAATGTATTAATGACGTGAATTCACAATTAAGAGTATCCTGCAGCCCTGGCCAATGTGGCTCCATTGGTTGGGTATCATCCTGTGCACTGAAAGGTCACCACTTCGATTCCTGGTCGGGGCTTGTGCGCAGGTTGTGGGCTCAATCCCTGGTGGGGGGCATGCAGAAGGCAGCCTATCAGTGTTTCTCTCATTGATGTTTCTCTCTCTTCCTCTCCCTTTCTCTCTAAAAATCAATAAAAATATTTTTAAACACAGGCGTATCATACAGAATATTTTCAGTGCCCTAAAAATGTTCTGTACATCCTTCTCTCTATCTCCAAACCCCTGATTTCTTTACTTTCTCCATAGTTTTTCCTTTTCTAGAATGTTTAATTGAAATTATAGAGTAGGTACCTTTTCCAGATTGTCTTATTTGAGGTTCTTTTATGTGTTTTCATGGCTTGATAGTTCATTTGTTTTTAGCGCACTATTGCCTGGATGTACCACAGTTTATACATTCACCTACTGAAGGATATGTTGGTTGCTTCCAAGTTTTGGCATTTATGAATAAAGTTGCTGGAATACCATTCAGGTTTTTATGTGGACATGTTTTCAGCTCTTTGGGATAAATACCAAGCAACATTATTGTTGAATCGTATGGTAAGAGTATATGTTTAACTTTATAGGAAATTGCTGAAGTGTCTTCCAAAGTGGCTGTACCATTTTGCATTCTCACAGCAATAACTGAGAGTTCCTATTGCCCCACATCCTCACCAGTGTTATGGAGTTTGGCCATTACAATAGGTGTGTAGTTGTATCTGATGGTTGTTTGCAATTTCCTAATGGTATATGATGTTGAACTTCTTTTCATAATGCTTATTTGCCATCTGTATATCTTCTTTGAAATGTCTCTTCAGGTTTTTTTGCTCATTTAACTGGGTTGTTGTTTTATTGTTGAGTTTTCAAAAATCTTTGTATATACTTTATAACAGTCCTTTATCAGATTTGTCTTTTGCAAATGTCTTCTCCAAATCTGTGCCTTTATTCTTTCATTCCTTTGAGTATCTCTCACAGGGCAGAAGTTTTGAATTTTTATGAAATCAAGCTTACCAGTCTTTCTTTCATAGATCATACTTGTGATGTATCTGAAAAGTCATCATTAAACCCAAGGTCATCTATATTTTTTCCTATCTTGTATTCTTGGAGCTTTATGGTCTTGCATTTAGGTCACCGATCCTTTTATTTTTTCTTTTAATCCTCACCTAAGGATATGTTTGTTTGTTTTTTAATTGATTTTTAGAGAGAGAGGGAGAGAGAGAAAAACATTGATGTGAGAGAGAAACATTGATTGGTTGCCTACAATATGTACCCTGCCCCTCACTGGGGGTTGAACTCACAGTCTTTTGGCATACAGAATGACATTCCAACCAACTGAGCTACCCTGACAGGGTAGATATGTGATCCATTTTGAGTTATTATTTGAGTTACTTTGGAGGGTGTAAAGTCTGTGGCTAAACATGTTTTCTTTTTTTGCATGTGGATGTTTAGTTCTAGCACCATTTGTTGAAAAACCTGTCCCCTCTCCAATGAATTTGCCTTTGCTTCTTTGTTAAAGATCAGTTAATTATACTTACGTGGGTCTGTTGTTTTTTTTTTAAATCTTTATTGTTGGATGTAAAATGTATTACAGATGTTCCACATTTTTCCCCCATTGACCCCCTCCTCCCCACTCCCGCCTTTTCCCACACTATTGTCTGTGTCCATTGGTTATGCATATAAGTTCTTTGGTTTATTTCTTCCCACCCCACCCCCCCCAACCCCTTTCCCTTTGAGGTTTGTCACTCTACAATGAATTTGTACTTCTTAATCTCTTCACCTTTTTCGCCCATTTCCCCAACCCCTCTCCCAACTGGCAGCCAACAAAATGTTCTCTGTATCTATGAGAATGTCTCTGTTCTACCTGTTCATTTTGTTTGTAGATTCCATTGTTGATAGATACGTATTCTTTGCCATTTTGTTTGTTCATATATTTTATCTGGTGAACTCCTTTAACTTTTTCTTGTCTGGGAAACTCTTTATATGGCCATCGATTCTAAATGACAGCTTTGCAGGATAGAGTAATCTTGGTTGTAGGTTCTTGCTTTTCATCACTCTGAATATTTCTTGCCACTCCCTTCTGGCCTGCAAAGTTTCTTTTGAGAAATCAGCTGACAGTCTTATGGGAACTCCCTTGTAGGTAACTAGCTGCCTTTCTCTTGCTGCTTTTAAGATTCTCTCTTTGTCTTGAACCTTTTGCATTTTGATGATGATGTGTCTTGGTGTGGGCCTCTTGGGGTTCATCATGTTTGGGACTCTCTGTGCTTCCTGGACTTGTATGTCTGTTTCCTTCACCAAGTTAGGGACGTTTTCTGCCATCATTGTTTCAAATAGGTTTTCAATTTCTTGTTCTCTCTCTTCTCCTTCTGGTACCACCAAGATGCGAATGTTAGCACGCCTGAAGTTATCCCAGAGGCTCCTTAACACTATCCTCATTTTTTTTATTCTTTTTTCTTTTTGCTGTTCGTTTTTTGCTTCCTTATATTTCAAATCAATGGTTTGCTTCTTGGCTTTATTTACTCTACTATTGAATCTGTGTAAATTATTCTTTATTTCAGTTAATGCCTCCTCCATTTCTGACTGTGCATCCTTCATTTCTGATTGGTCCTTTTTTATGCTCTTGAGGTCCTCACTAAGTTCGCTGAGGTTCTCACTAAGTTCACTGAGCATCCTTATAAGCAGTATTTTGAACTCAGCATCTGTTAGGTTGATTATCTCCATTTCGCTTAGTTCTTTTCTTGGGGTTTTATTCTGTTCTTTCATTTGGGACCTGTTTCTTTGTCTCCTCATTTTGGCTGCCTCCCTGTGTTTGTTTCAGTGTATTACTTAACAAGAGGTATGGGGCTATATGAGACCAGATGCTGCTTGTTTGAAAGAATTTAGGAAAACCTGAAGCAGGATCCAAGACAGGCCAATCCTATGGATAAGCAACTGGCAACAGCTTGGGTGGGCCTGAAAGTTCGGTGGAGCGGGGCAAACAGTGCGAGCCAGGTTGCTGGAGTCCCAGATATGGCAGCTGCCTGCCGCCCCAGGGAAGGGCTCTGACAGCATGTCTGTCCTGGAGAAAGCCCCCTCTCCAGCCCTCACTCCAATGGCAAACAGCTCAGTTCTTCCCTGTATGTCTCTGGTGCCCCTCGAGCTGCCTTCCCTCCAAGCTTAGAGGGAGAGAGTCCGATAAGTTCGCGGGCGCGGGCCCTTTAAGGAGCTGCCTGGGGCTCCAGCCACGTCAGCTTCCCTGAGCCTCAGTTCCCGCTGGTTTTTCCAGCCAGAAGTTATGGGGATTCTCTTCCTGGCACTGGAACCCTGAGCGGGGCACCTGGTGTGGGACGGGGACCCCTCAGTCCTCAGGAAGGACCTTCCCAGCCGAGGTGTCCTCCTGATTTTTATCCAGACCAGCCCGTCGCGCTGCCGCTTCTGCTGCAGCCGTCACCACCGCCGCCTCCACCCCTCCTACCAGTCTGGATGTGGCTGCTGCTTTGATTCCGTAGTTGTAGGACTTCCATTCGGCTTGATTTCAGGCGGTTTTGAATGATGGTTGTTCTGTAGTTTAGTTGTCACTTTGATGTGGTTGTGGGAGGACACGATACCGCATTTACCTACACTGCCATCTTGACCCGGAAGTCTGTGGGTCTGTTTTTGAGCTTTCTATTCTGTTACATTGATGTAAGTCTTTTGTTTCTGTAAAGAAATTTAGAATTAGTCAGTAACCATAAAGTAAGCAGCTAGGGTTTTGATTAAGATTGTATTGAATGTGGAGATCAAATTGGCAATAATTGACACTTTGTGTTAATTCTTCCTTTCCACAAACAAGGACTATATCTCCATTTATTTAGTTATTTGATTTTTTTATGAGTTTTGTAGCTCTTTAAATAGATCTTGTTTATATTTTATTAAATTTGTACCTAAATTTATCTTTTTTTGTGGCAATGTAAATAATTTTTATTTCAAACTCCATTTCTTTGCTGGTACATTGGAATGCAATTTACTCTTACATGTCAACCTTGTATCCTGCAACTTTGCTATAATCACTTATTAGTTCCAGTTTTCTTTTTCTTTTTTTTTTTTTTTTGTCCTTCCAAATTTTCTGCATAGACAATGTCATCTGCGAGTAAAGACAGGTTTCTTTTTTCTGTGTGTATACTTTTTTTTGCTTTTCTTGTCTTATTGCACTAGCTAGGACTAGTAATGCAATGGTGAAAAGGAGTGATCAGAGGGGACAAGCTTTGTCTTTTCCTGATCTTAACAAAAAAACTTCTAGTTTCTAACTATTAAGAATGATTTTAGCCTTGGCCGGTTTGGCTCAGCGGTTAGAGCGTCAGCCCGCAGACCTGAGAGACCCAGGTTCGGTTCCCGCTAAGGGCACATACCTCAGTTGCAGTTTGTCCCCGGCCCTGGATGTGTCTCACGTCGATGTGTCTCTCTCTCTTCCTCCCACTCTCCCTTCTGCTCTATCTGAAGATAAATGCAAAAATGTCCTCGGGTGAGAAAAAAAAAGAGAATGATTTTAGCTGTAGGTTTTGTGTGTTTTTTTAAATCCTCACCCGAGGATATGCCCACTGATTTTTAGAGACACAGGAAAGGAGGGAGGGAAGGAAAATGAGAGAGAGAGAGAAACATTGATTCTAGAAAGAACATCTATCTGCCACCCCCATACGCACCTCAGCTGGGAATCAAACCTGAAACTAAGGCTCATGTCCCGACTGGAAATGGAACCTGCAGCTTCTTTGGGACTATGCTCCAGCCAACTGAGCCGCACCAGCCAGGGCTAGCTGTAGGGTTTTTTGTAAGTGTTTTTCAAGTTGAGGAAGTTTCCCTCTATTCCTTGTGTGCTGAGATCACTAGTTCACTTTTTCAAAACCTACCACTCCCAGTATTGCTGTACCTCATCATGCCTGCAGTATGTTATTTTAATAGTAGTCTTTTCTGACACGTCTTAGGTTAGTCAACACCAGTGATTTATAGTTCATTAAACAGTAGAAATGCTAACAAACTGTGTGATTCATCTTTTTCTTAGAAGTTAGAAATAAGTAAATTAATTATTGTACTTCTGTTTTTCATTACTATTTTCCTGGGTCAGAAACTGGTTTACAAGAAAGATTAGACAATGGGTCAGCAGAACAGGTGTATGAGAATGCCCCCTATTGTCACCATCAGTACCTACACTGTCAGCTTGTTATTGAGGTTCCTTAGAGTTCATTCCTATTACATGAAGATTTTGGCTTCCGTTAAAATGCTAATACTTTGGTGAACAGAGTAGCTAATCACTTATAGAATGAATATCAAATCCTTTCTCAAAGAGTATTATGGGGCAAAAAGGAATAAAAATGAGAAGATTGATACTTGAGGGAATCTCAAAGATAAATGTCATCTGCATAATACCATCTTTAGGTGGAACATCTCATTGTGGGAGAATGAATTCTTTAACCATCCAGTCATCTTTAACATGCATAGATAGAGGAAAATGAATGTTGGCTTAGATCAGGATAAGTCATTGTTTTTCAAAGCTAGTTTTAAACCTTATCAAAATCTCTTGGGTGGGAGATTGTTTAAAATGTAGATCCCTAGATTTTAGCCTTATTGTTTCAAAAATGTCTTCTAGTAATCTTTGAAAAGTATATATAGTAAGTTCTAAAACAGGATAATTAAAAATGTAAAATTACTTATTACTTTTTTTTTTTTAAAGCTCAGAGATAAATTGGGTAAGGGAAGGAAATGGTGGTCAGGAAACAAGTCAATTCTTCTCATTAAAAAAATGCATTTTTGTTTTATGTGACCACACTCATAACTTATGAGTTTCACTTCAAGAAAGTACATTTTAAATACTGTTAAGCTGTAGTTTATGGAAATTGATCAGAACTTTTTCGATTATTTTGCTCATGATGGCTTTTTTTAAAAAAAAAATTTTCTTTATTGATTTTAGGAAGCGAGGAAGGGAGAGGGAGAGAGCTAGAGACATTGATGAGAGAGAACATTGATTGGCTGCCTCTTGCATGCTTCCTACTGGGGATCAGGTCCACAACCTGGGCATGTGCCCTGACCGGAAATCAAACCCGCATCCTCTTGGTGCATGGGTCAACACTCAACCACCGAGCCATACCAGTTGGCCATGATGGCTTGTTTTTAATCCTTCCTATTTCCACCATCTGATATGTGCCCTGACTGATCATTGTCTATTCTCATTTTCTTAAAAAAGAAAATCTTTTATTGCTTTTTTTGAAGCACAATAAATATATATACAGTAAAGTGTACACCTCATAAATGTAACTTGAAGAATTTTCACAACATAAACATACCTATATACCCAATATCCAGATTGATAAACAGAATGTTAACAGGCACCCAGTTTGGTTACTTCTGTTACCATCCAGTAAATACTCCCCAGTACCACTTCTCTTTTCCTGAGTTTAGTTTGATTCATCTTTGAGAGGTTAGATTTCACTAAGATGCCATTTCAGGAAAGGTGCTTGGTTGCTGTATTCTCTGAGTTCTGGCATGTTTTGGGAATACTTGTCTGTTTTCTTTATACATAAAGGGCAATTTGACTGAATAATACTGTCATACTTCTTCTCCATCAAAATTTGAGGGATATTGCTACACCATCTTAGAGCACTGAGTGTTGCAGTGAGAGGCCTGAGGTAACCTCTCCGAACACATACCCCCTTTTGAGACTTGATTTTTCTGCCTAGATATCCATAAAAAATCTTTCTTTACTGTAGAAGTCTAATAACTTTACCAGTTGATCATTATGCATGAGGGTTTCCTGAACCTTCATGTACATTTTTAGTCTGAAGATTCAAGTCATCCTTTAGATTTTGACATAATTATCCAAGACAAAAGTAACTCTCATTCAAAATTATATGGTTGAGGACAAAGATGTTAGGAAAGAAGTGAGAGGTAATAGAATAAGAGAATAATGGAGGATTGAATTTAAAATGGACAGCAGACAAATGGAAGAAACATTAGTGACACACTAGAACTGCCATCATATCTCCATGTGAAATTATCAGGTCTTATGGGAAGTATCTCCAGTTTTTTAAAATAAAGCAAAAAAATAAATAAAGCCTTAATTCATTTGCTTATCTAGAAAGACTTTTTTTTGTTAATTCTCACCTAGAATATTTTTCCATTGATTTTTAGGTAGAGTGGAATGGAGAGAGGTAGGAGGGGGAGAGAGAAACATCGATGTAAGAGAGACATCAGGGGCCAGGGATTGAACCTGTTCCCGAGGTATGTGCCCTTGACCAGAAATTAAACTGAAACTCCTTGGTCCGAGGGCCGAGGCTCTAACCACTGAGCCAAACCTGCCAGGGCTAGAAAGCCTTTTCATTTATTTAGTATTTGTTTTGCCAAATGAGATTTAATTAAACAGCTTTTAGTTGATTCAACAACACAGGAAAATTTTTAAATTTTTGTTCAGATAACTACCAACTATAAGTTGTGATAGTAAACCAGATGATTCATGTATAATACTGGAAGTACTTTTAATTTTTTCTAACTACTGGTTATATTGGTTGATGTGTGTAATATCTAAATTACTGACCAAGTGTTTGCTGATTGATCTTTAAGGTCCACTTATTTGAGTTAGCAGAATATAGCAGCTTTAAGTATTTCATACTAAAATTGTTTAAGCCAGAGCCACAGAGATGAAACATTTTTTAGTTAGAGATTTTATTTTATTTTACAGAGAAAACATCTTTAATTGGGAGTAAATGCAAAAAAATAAAACAGTATTATTTTTGACATTGTGAATTTTAAAATAATTTCTGTCAAAAATGGATAGTGCTTCATGCCATACAACATTTTGTTTAATGCATCATTCTTTGGAGTTACCCAGTTTACCTACTAGAACTCTCTTTTTTCCTATTAACGATAAAAAGTAACAGTAAACATTATAATTGAATTACTATTCATTTTTCACCAGAAGAGAGAAAAATTACATGATGAAGAAGAAAGAAAAAGTGCTTGGGTTAGCCAAGAAAGACAGAGAACGCTGGATAGACTTCGAACTTTTAAACAGGTAATAAAAGAACGGTCATTGTATTGCTTTTCATTGCTACATACACACTGCTATTGTAAGATTTCTTTGTATGAGAAAAACTTGGTTTTCCCTTTGTTATTCAGAAAATAATTAATGTTTTGATTGTGTGGCTACCTGTCCTCTGGTTCTTTCCAGAATTAATATTCTTGTGACCCTTGGCTACCACTTTGTCAAGGCCTCTGGGAAGCCTGGATTCCTCTTGAGTTTTATAAATTCATTAGTTTACAACTGACTTTCCATTTCAAGCATCAACTTGTTATTGATTCCACATACATTAACCTGTGGTAATAATCTGTGATTTGAAATGACTGGTGACAGAATCAGAGTGTGGGTCAGCATACCTGAGAAATGCTTTAGGAGTTTTCTTACCAGCTAACCGATGACTCTAGGCACTGATATCACAGCGGCTAAATATTTCCTTCAAATTGTGCCTATGCTGAATGGTTTTAGTTGTGAAAGTGCTCAGGAGCCTTATTTTGTCTGTCTGTGGTGAGGGGTCCTCTTACAGACTAAGAAAGCTTTTGACCAAGTCCTCTTCATATTATAGTGAAAAGGGGGCCTAGGGAGATGGACAGGGTTTCTAATACAAGGATAAGCGTTGAGTTAAGTAAATGCATTAATCCTAGGTTTTACTATAGTAAATATATAGAATGAAAGTTCTGTGTGTCAGTCAGTACTCAGAAAATTTTATCTGTAAGCATTTGAAAATACATGTACAAAACTAATAATTCCTTAGCATTCTTCATTTGTATGTTTGACATCATTTGTATTGTACAGTTTACATTGCTATTACTATTTTTTCATTCAAATTCATAATTTTATTTAGTAATACCCTTTTTTTAATTGTGATAATTTTGAATAGTTGCTTAAGTTGTAAGACGATACAAGATGTTAATAAAGGATTTGACGATAAGCAAATGATAAAGAGTTTGGTGATAACTTCTTAAAAGGTATTATACTTTGGTATTATGGTTTTCTGTATAACTTTATTACAGAATTTTTCCTGAAAATTACAGAAGCTCCAAAGTAACATCTTTCATTTGAGGGAGAAAATAGCTATTTGTTCATAAATTGTTTCAATATAATTTAACCGGCTGCGATAACTTCTGATTTTTAGAGATACCCTGGCCAAGTTATACTTAAATCAACCAGACTGCGGCTGGCTCATGCAAGGAGGAGGAGTGCCGCCAGTCCTGTGCCCTGCGAGGACCAGTGCGACCCTGTGCCAGGAGCACCGCAGGTTGAAGAGAGGCGGGAAGAGGTGCAGGAAGGCAGAGGCAAGCTTGGGTCATCCCAGACAGCAGAAGCACACAGCCTCACACAACTTGAAGATACTGCATTAGTACAACTTGAAGCCACTTCATTACCTCTCAGTGGTGTTACCTCGGAACTGCCTCCCACTGGTCCTCTTTCTCTTTTGAATGATATTGACCTTGAACCAGGTTCTGTTACCACAGATCCACTCCCACCACCTCTTCCTCCAACACCACCTCCCCCACCGCCACCTCCTCCCCCACCCCCACCGCCACCACCTCTGCCTGTTGCTAAAGACAACATCCCAGAGACACTGGAGAAAGGTCTGCCCAGAATGGAGGGGAGCGAGAAGAGGATCCCTAAGTCTGCGAGTGCCCCTTCAGCACACCTCTTTGACAGTAGCCAGCTAGTCAGTGCCAGGAAGAAGCTGAAAAAGACTGCTGAAGGTTTGCAGAGAAGGAGAGGTAAGTTAAAAGGACATTTTCATGTTCATCTGTTGAATAAAGTGAGCCATAATCAAAGGACTTTTTTTTATAGGACCTTACAAAGCTTAATGCATTATTTTATTTTTGGACATTATTTGATAGCAGACAGATTTTCAAGGTTACAGCAGGGCAGAATTCTCACCAATCTACATTGACAAATGTGTCCAGACACAGGAGTGTGTACCTTCATTAGCCGTTAAAGCATGTTTTTAAAAATAAATCTTCTGCCCTGGCCGGTTTGCCTCAGCAGTTAGCGCATAGGCCCGTGGACCAGAGAGTTCCAGGTTCAGTTTCCGCTAAGGGCATGTACCTCGGTTGCAGTTTGTCCCCGGCCCCGTTTGGGGTCATGTGGGTGGCGACCATTCCATGTGTCTCTCTCACATTGATGTTTCTCTCTCTCTCTCTTCCTCCCTCCCTCCCTCCTGCTCTATCTGAAGATAAATGCAAAAATATCCTCAGGTGAGGATTAAAAAAACAACACAAAACTTAAAAATAAATCTTCTGAAGTGTGATACTTGATCTACTTAGTAATGCATAGTAGATGTCTCTTTGTGTAAGAAAGTGATTTTAAACCTGGGAAATACAAGAAGGGTTTTTCCATCAGAAAGCTTAAGTTACCTGGTCAGAACTATCACACTAGGATGACGTTAACAAGACAGTGTAACATTTGGTCACATGTTTATTGAGGGCCTTGAAATGCTCTTTGTATAAAGAAGCAAAGAAGAATAGGGAGTAATATGTATGATTTCTTACATTTATGTGTTAAAGCTATTTTTGAAAAGAATAGAAAATATTCTGAGCCCTGAAGGAGCTTTAGCTTTCATAAGGAGAATGTTATATAGAACATTTTGCTTATCGTATTTTAATCTGAGAGAACATCCTGTAAAATATTTTTTACCATAACCTAGGTAGAATTTTATATGTAAGGCAACTAAATGAAAAATACAATCATTATAATGAACCAAAATTTAATTTTTTTAATTAAGTGTGTAACCCAGTCACTATCTGAATTCTGGTAGGGCTAGTGCATTATGGAAATCCTTCGGAAGCATCACCCATGACACTAGTAAAGATCACCTTCTAGCTCCCACTCTGTTCCCTTCTCTCACATGGGCAATGTAGGGAATACCAGTCATACCTGGCATAGAATCGTGTCTTGGGATTTCTTTTTAATAAGCATAGTTAGGATGCCCTGTGCTTTGGAATCTTCTGTTCACACTTCATGGTCCATTTTGTAGATGGTGTTTCCAGTGTTGTGTTTTATCACAGTCCTAAAGTCTAGTTATACTGTAGTTTGACTTTACGTGCAATCCTAACTGTAATTGTTCTCTTTCATTTTCTAAAGTGAGCTCACCCATGGATGAGGTGCTAGCTTCATTGAAACGTGGTAGTTTTCATCTGAAAAAGGTTGAACAGCGAACTCTGCCTCCTTTTCCTGATGAAGATGATAGTAATAATATCTTGGCACAAATAAGGAAGGGGGTAAAATTGAAGAAGGTACAGAAGGAAGTTTTGAGAGAATCCTTCACACTTCTGCCTGACACAGACCCTCTAACACGGAGCATCCATGAAGCTCTTAGAAGAATCAAAGAAGCATCCCCTGAGTCAGAGGATGAAGAGGAGACTTTGCCTTGCACAGAATGGGAAAACTAACAAGTAAATGGTCTTACTTTCCTCAGCAGCATTTGGTAACACAGTTTTTATATTGGATGATGAGGTCTATTATATTGTGTTGAGTCTGAAGTTTATCATTTATTATACAGATCAATTGTAGTAGAGTCATAAATATATAAACTTCTGTAGTTTCTAGAAACATAATAGACAAGCACTGTTCAAAGATACTACTATGTAAATGTGTTTTTTATATCCAGCTCATTAAAAATTCTGCAGTACAGCCATAAACCAAGTAGAGAGGACAGTCTTATTCTAATAATGGGACAGCCTTATTCCAGCTTCAAAAACAGAAAAGGCTTTTTCTGACTTGCAAACCACGCATATTGAGTTTTGATGTCTTATTATCTGCCCACAAAGGAATTTTTGAAGATCAGTTTAGAAAAGTAATTGTATTATCTGATTATTTAGCTTTCTAAGCATTTAAAACTGAGATTTATCATTTTAAGGCTTATTATAGTTACTGCAGTGTTTGGTTAAAATTTTAGTTAAGATAATAAGTGTAAAAATTATACATATACGTATCTTAATGAGTACCCTTGTGGGTATTGGTTACACATTTGACATTCGCCTAAGGTAATAGAGAGTTACACTCTAGTACATTTTAATAAGATGATTATAAAGTAATGTGGCACAAATTATGCTAAATATATGGAATCAGTAAAGATAACATACCATAAATTAAATAGTATACCGCTTCACAACATTCACCAAAAGGAGGAAGGCTCATAGTCTTGGAGGGAGTAAGGGAAGCATTAATAAACTTACCATTAGCACAATTATTCTTAAATGTACTTGATTATAAGAATTACCTGGAAAGTGTAATAAGTGAATATTCCTGCCCTTCACTCCCCAGGATACTGACCAAGTAGTTCTGATGTATATGTAGGAATACATCTGGATTTTTAAGACTTAATATAAAACAGTCATTTTTATATTGATTATGTGTTCAAAGATACTGTTTTGGATATCAAATAATTCTAAAAGTAATTTACCTGTTTGTTTTGGGCATGGGTCCATCAGGAAAATGTTTCTCTTCTATACTCCCAAGTCCACCTCTCCCCAGCAACATCTGCACAGATCAGTAGCTTAACAAAATGGGTAAAAAAAGTCACGTTCCTCTTAATAAGTGGTTGTGTTACCTTTAATGTGCCTGAGCTAACATTCCAGATTACCACAGTCCTGCCATGGGTCTTGGGCTTTTGGCATCTTTTCCAAGGGCCTTATTTATAGAGGTCCTAATTAACAGTCACTTGTATGACTTACTGTTTTAGGATCTCAAAATAATTTCAACCCATTTGTACTTGTACATAGGTACAGTATGCTTTGTGGAAGGATATAAATAGATCAGTGTGTCTGCTTGGTGTGTGAATGTGTCTAGAGACTCAGGTGTGTCTGACAGGGAATCTTTTTCACACTGGATATTTGTAGATGGTCTCCCACATTACAGTGCTTGCTACCTATTGCCTGTCTCATTCTGCTTATAGCTTCCCAGTGAGCAGTTGAGCCTGTGCCTGAAACTACCCATCTTGGTGCTGATTGGTTAATCCCACAGCTGGGCCTTCACTTAAATGAGTGTATTTAGTCCTTTTATTACAGTTGCCTGCAGTGGCCCAGTCAGGGTACATGGCCTACCAGCAGTTGCTCAGGCCAACCCACACCATTTGTCTTCTTCCATCCCACCAAGTCCTGCCCAAACACATAGTCACTGCAGCAGTATTCCCTATATTCAAGAATCTGGGCTTTTATAGCTTTTGGCAGTTAATTTGGCCTGATATCAGATGTTAGATTATGTCCATGGTGAATACCACCTTTGAAAATCACCTAAAACTTTTTTGTTGTTAATCCTCACCCGAGGATCTTTTTTTCCCATTGATTTTAGATATAGTGGAAGGGAAAGGGGGGCATTGATGTGAGAAAGACACATCAATTGGTTGTCTCCTGCACGACCCCGACCAGGGATCGAACCTGCAACCCAGGTACATGCCCTTGACCGGAATTGAACCTGAGACCCTCTGTCCAGGCCGACGATCTAATAATTGAGCCAAACTGGCCAGGGCTAAAACTTTCCTTTTTTTTTAATGATTTTTTTTATGGCTTGTATATGTACTATAATGTTAAGAAACACAATGAAATATTTCCAGAAAATGTATGCACTCAGATATCTGCAAAGCCACTTTTAAAAGACAGTGTATCCTACACCAGAAACAGTCCATAGACTAGTCATGCTCCTCACTGATGAGCAGGCATTGATCAAGGCGCTGTGTCCCACTGCCTGTGTGTGGTCTTGGAAAATCATTTTTATTTTTATTTATTTTTTCTTTATTTTTAGAGAGAGAGGAAGGGAGTGGGAGAGAGAGATAGAAACATTGATGAGAAAGAACATTGATTGGCCACCTCCTGCATGCCCCTCATTGGGGGTTTGGCCCACAACCTGGGCATGTGCCCTGACCGAAAATTGAACTGGCGCCCTCTTGGTACATGGGTCGACACTCAACCACTGAGCCACACTGGCCGGTGGGAAATCTTTTTTTTTTATCCTCATCCAAGGACATTTTTTCGTTTTTTGTTGTTCAGATAGAGTGGGAAGGAGAGAGAGAGAGAGAGAGAGAGAAACATCAACATGAAAGAGACACATTGAGTGGTTGCCTCCTGCAAGACCCAACCAGGGCCAGGTACAAACTGCAACCGAGATACGTGCCTTTAGCAGGAACCGAACCTGGGTCTCTCTGGACCGCAGGCTGACGCTTTAACCCCTGAACCAAACCGGCCAGGGTGGGAAATCATTTTTAAAGGCTTCAGATTTTTCTCTACAGATAGCTAAAAAGGCTATAATTTGTATTTCCTATTATTAATTGGCTTCATTCTTAGAGATTTTAAATCATTAATTACATACTTCATTGAAGAATTAATTTCTCAAAACTTCACGAAAATATGAAGGTCCCTGTTCTACCTCATCTTACTCTAAAAACTCTTCCTAGAGATAGCTATAGGTACGAGAGTCCTTGAAGGGTATTTCTAAACATAGGAAACATATATCATTATATGGACTTTATTCAGTTTCTAATTTGTTCCTGTGGGGGACAAGGGTCAAGGCTCAACCACTGAGCCACACCAGCTGGGCGTAGGTCTTTTATATAAATGCTCCTGTGCCATAGGTAAGCTCATAGATGTCAAACATAACTATTTTGAATTTTAGAAAAGTCCTGGTAAAGCATCCATTTAAAGACTAGTATTAATTCTGTCCTCTAAATGTCAATATAACAGAAATTTTTCCCTAGTGAATTTTGAAGATGTCATTTAATAGTTCTTACTATAGTAGCAGTTTATGAGGCAGGTATTTTTAGATGATGTTTTTCCTTTGTTGTATATAGTTTTTACATAAAATGTTAGGGTAAAGAAGTGAAAGTGAATCCTACATACAACCTTTTATTAACAGTGATCAAAATTTGTATGTAAATTTTTTCATTGCTTTTTAAATATAAGCATATCCTTTTTTTAAAAGTCTCGTATACATCATATGTATAAATGGCCATTTATAAGGAAAAAACATCAGTGTTCATTTTGGATGTTGCTAAAGGTATGAGGGAGCGCATATATATATATATATGTGTGTGTGTATGTATGTATATACACACACACACAGAGGCTGGTGCAAAAGTAGGTTTACAGTTCTTTGTATGGAAAATAATACAATAAATAAGAAATAATTATACAAGACTAAAACATGTTTTGTGTACTCACAACTGTAAACCTACTTTTGCCCCACCCTGTACACACTACCTTTAATTGGTCATCCTTTTTTAATATACTTTATTATTTCATTTGTAAACAGGTGACTCAACAGAAAGAAAGAAAGAAAAATCTGCAGTTGAAGATTGATTTATATTCTTTTGGAAAACAAATTTTAAGCACTTGGTTCCACAATTGGATTCCATTAGATCCAAAGTGTATTGGCTCAGTGGTGTGAAAAAAAGGAAGCACAACTGGCAAGTTACCCCTTTTCCAGTCATTCCAGTAGATGGTGATTAACGTGAGTTTTATATGTGCAATGTTCCTGACTACAGTGAAGAAAAGGCCTTCAAGGAGATCCCTGTTTTTTGTATTTTTGTTTTTTTACCACCTTCTGTTCACCCACTTGCATACCTACAGTGGCCAGTAAAGCTAGGGGTCGCTATGAGTTGGAAGAACAATGCATTGACAGAGGCCTGCTGTGGGCTGTATTGGGACGGCTTTGAAATCCACTTTTCAGTGCACTGAATAGACATCTGCTTGAAAATTACAAAGCTTCTTCCATATCAGCTTATATAAATAGTGTGACACTCTGAAAAAGTTTATCATGATAGCTATTGGACAGGAATTGGAAGAAAATCAGATGGAAATGCATCTGATGAAAATTTCCATATTACTTATCTCCAAAGGAATTTTTATCAAGATGTTCAACAACATCTAGAAAGATATATAACTATGGAGATACATCTATTAATGTGTTTACCACAACATGATACATTTAACATGGCATATTTTTAGAAGACCACACATACTTACACTTTGTAAGTTTTCGAAGTAAAAATTTCCATGCTTTTAAATAGCTCTTCATAATTGTGAATTTATAATAGTTTGAATTTTATGTGCAGCTTTGTTTATGAGAAGCAATACTTTGTAATTTGATAATATTTCAAATTATTTTTGGTCTTTTTGTTTGAACTATTGCTCAATTACTTCAACTCAACGTGACTTTCCTATTGAGAATCAAAAATCAGGATTCTGTAATAGGGATGCAAATCTTAAGTGTTTTTATCATGTACCATTTAAGTTTTTATTTTTATGCTCCACAGTGAGAAAAAAATTATGTGCTCTACAAATATGCAGAAGAAAGTAGACAGACAGAAAAGTCTCCTTAGCTGGCATTTCACTATCTTCATTCACATGCTTTGAGTGGAGTTTTGGGAGAGAGCCTTTGTTATTGTCACTAAATTAACCATGTATGTTAGCTCTAGGTGCCTATTTTTCTGTAATGGAGTCTGAAGGGTGCATTTATATGAATGGAGCCTTTATGTATTCTCAGCGGGACTGCTGTGGGCTTGAATGAAGGTAGATGAGTTGGACTCAGTTTACAGTACTCTGTAGAGTGTAATTCTGCATAAGGTAGACCTTGGCCCTTATATGAAGAGAGTTAAGGACTGAAGTACTGAAAAATAGCTTCTATTTCTTATGAGGCAATTCGTTGGCATAGACTCAGAAAGCAGTCCCAGTGCAAAAGCCCTTCAGTGAATTGGTTCCAGAGAAAAAGGAAATGCTTGCACCTTTTGTCACTTTAAAGTGTTATTTTATTGAAAATATTATGGAGAAAATTTTGTGGCAAAAGGTTATATAAAACAAAATCTTTCTGTATAAATGGTGGTAATACATTTATTGATAAGACTAGGAGCTTTGCACAGCATTTTCACAATACATTGGTTCCTTCTAGCACTATTCCCACATCCTGTCTGGGAAGATTAGAAACACAGGTCTAATACATAAACTAATCTTCATCCTTTAATGGTGAGTGGGGGAGATATTTTTTCTACCATCAGTAAAGCATTAAAGCATGCTTTCTAACCCAAAGAATGACTGGTTTGATTGTTAATGTATTGAAAAAAAATTTAGTAAATTTGCAAACCTTAAAAAAGTCATGTTTCAATTTTATGCCTTTGGATTCTTGTTCATAACATGTTTTGTTTTTCATTCATTGACATTTAGAAAAATGTAGGAGGGTGCAGTGTCAAATTAACAGCAGAAGTACTAGATGTCTCCTATGTCTAGAAGGAATTGCTACCCATTTGGTAGCAATTTGGGGTTCCTTTAAAAGACAGGCAGGCTCACTTACAAACGGGTCCTGTGCTCTACTTCATGAAGGTTATCTCACACTTGAAGACGAGTAAATTAAAGCAACCAGCTTGCTTCTTCTCTGGTAAATAACTTTCTCCAACACACTCGTTTCCCTTTGAGATTCAGATTTCTACTTCCACAAAATGGCATGATACTGCAGGTCATCAACCTTTTAGAGTTCTCACAAATAATATTAAAATTTAAAATAACTATGGTTGACTTGTCTATCAAGATGAGATGACCATTGATTTCTTATTTTGATTTTAAAGCAGTTTTAGAACCCACCAAGAATTATGTAGACATGGTTAAATTCTTTTTTCTTGCCCCAGTAAGCTGAGTCTCTTCGGCCTTAGTATTACATTTGTATATATTTAGTTTTGATGGTACTTATAATCGTTTCCAGTTCCAAACTTAGCTGTACTATTCATATGGTTTTAAATATTTGACAGCTATACTTTTGTTACTATATCATTTCCATATTAAGAGTCCACAAACAGCTGCTTGCATATGCTGAATCAATTTAGAAGTTAATTTACCAATCTAGTCTGAACTTCAGTATATTTAAAATAGGGAAACAAGTAGGTGATGATTTGGGGGCTGTTTTGAGGTTAATATTACTGCTCACTTGAATGTCAATGGTAAATATTTCTCCTACTAATGCAACTAAAAGTATGTATATATAACCAATGTGGCATGCATAGAAAAGGTATTCCTAATGATTTAAAATCCTCATGGTACTATAGTGCAGCAATATGAGGAAATACCTGGCTGGCTAAAGAGAATTTTTAAAAGATGAGCAATTGTCTCGCTTACTTGATGTATATTTTATAGACTTACTGAGTTGGTGATCGGCATAAAAGCAATCATTCCTTAATTCTTCATTGTGGAACTGAAATATTTCTAGAAATGCATTTTTCAAATCCATTTTCAAATAGACTTTTAGACACAGCTATGACAGTTGATCAGGTATAGTATTTCCACAGTGGGACCATGGAGCTTTTCTTACATGAAACCATAGAAAAATGTCAGCCCTATAATGTATGAGAGGAAAAAAATCCTTGTTTCTATAAAGCTGAACTATGTAGTAGTATTTGGTAAATGGTGTGACCACTTTTGTAAAGCATACTTTGGCCATAGCAGACACTAAGAATTAAAACATCAGTGGAACAAAAATTAATGGGAAGCAGCATCCTCTCTGTTTGGAATGGGACCAGTATACACTTAAAACAAATTTTATACATTCCCTGAGACTCCATTTTTTAATTAACATTTACTGAGTGTGTATATATATTTAAGTCAATGCTTTTAACCTAAACATTTTTTCTTTCACTATATACAAGGATTTTTTTTTTTTTAATCCTCACCTGAGGATATTTTTCCATTTATCTCAGACAGAGTGCAGGAGAGAAGGGGGGCCGGGGGGGAGAGACAAAGAAACATCAATGTGAGAGAGAGACATGATTTGGTTGCCTCCTGCATGACCCTGACCAGGGCCGGGGACGAACTGCAACTGAGGTACGTGCCCTTGACCGGAATCAAACCCACGACTCTGGTCCTTGGGCCAACGTTCCAACAGCTGAGCCAAACCAGCCAGGGCAGGATTTTTTTTGTTAATCTTTATAATTTCATTATTATGCACTTAACATCAGATACCAATCTGTAAAGTACAAATGGGTCCTTTAAAGGCCTTATCAGGGAGTTGAAATTTCATATACTTTACCAGGTTATTTGTAAAAAAAATCTTTTTGAACAGATGTAAAACATTTAAAAACTGTTACAGACTCATTGTTAACATGCAACCATTTGATAGTGAAATCAGAAACCTTAACAAGTTTTGCCTAATTCTTGCACTGAATTTAAATAATATAAAGCTAAATGTGCATTTAAAACAGATTTTATTCCCCATTTACTGCTTAGCATAGAAGAACTATGCTTAGTATTAGAGCATTGATCAGTAAGATTTGTTTCAGATGGAAGAGAGGTAAGAAAACAGAAGCACCTTACTGTTGGAGCATGTTGCATTTATTTAGTGCTACTGAATAATTCAGTAGTTATCTCTGAACTTTGCTGCAGAGTGCTCTTTAGTTAAAGCACATTAAAAAAAATCTGTTTAATTGCTTTATAAAATGAAGCAATGGTATTTTTTATCCTATAAATATAGGCTAATTTAAAAGTTTTTCCTACAAATGAGTTTATATTGCTGCCTAAACTATCATGTATGTATGTAAACAGAGGTTTTTTTAAAGATGAGAGGGAGTCTGGATCGTGTGTGTGTGGTGTGTGTGTGTTAAATGTTTGCCCACTGAGTTATTTCAAAGACATACTCATTCTGAAATGTTCTCTTTTGCCCACAGTAAAAATGTACAGTTTGGCATTTGAGGAATTTAATTGAATTCCAAATTTATAAATGTTTCTCCCCTTCCTACATTTATTATGACACTGTTAGGTGCATGTACAGAAAATACCTCTGAGATTGACATAGTAAATATTTTATCCATGTTATTTCACACTGAATCTCAAAGTAATTATTTGTTTTGAGGATTAGGGGGAAGTTTTTGTGTTTTTTTTTAAAGTCAGGTTTAACTAAGAGTGGCTCATTTTGGAGAGTTAAGGAAGGACCACGGAAAGTGATAATTTAGACATGTACAAAAGATATAGGTCTTGGTAATAGAGTTCAGTTTTAACAAGGGAAGTTCTGTTTTTGTTTTTGTTTTAACTTGCATGTTCTATGGTTAACTATCAAAGAATGTAACACAAGTTATTCTAGCTTTTCCCTATAGTAATTATATTGGTTTTAAGAAGTCTCCATAATCACAAGATGGCATTTTCCCTTCATCTGTGAACCAAAGGAGTAGACAGTACAACCCCATACAGTGACTTCTGACTTATTCAACTTGGACAGAATCCCCACTGTCTCATTGAATTTCTCATTGTACTGTACGTATTGCCAAGGTTGAAACCATAATATATGGTTTATGAAAAAATTGAAGGCCACAGATCATTTTGCATGAGTAAAGCCCATTAGGGTTAACGAAACTGACATGTTTTAGCCTTTCCGGTCAAATGACAATTTTAATGGCAAACTGATTCACCATTTACTAGCTTTGTGCAATATTATAATGGTAGAAGCAAACACTAGCACATTGTGCTTAGCTTTTAAAGATGGCTTTGACACTGTTACATTACATGGGCAATGTGTACAATGTAAATGCCAACTTTTGCAAATTTACAGTACTTAAATATGCTAAATTAACATTCTAAAGTATTAAAAGTACAAAGAAAAAACTAAACAAGCATTTATAGCAATACTCTGAAATCTCCAATAATTGTTTTGACTGTTGCCTTTTGCTCTTTAGTGCAATCTGCATCGTAATTATTGTATTGCTTTGTATTTCATGTTTTTTACACTCATGACTTCAGAATTAAGTACTTGTACACCAAGTATTGCAATCACCTTTCTCTTCTTGTACATGCAATGTAACAACATACAGTTTTGGTGCTTAACAA